TGTTATTTTCGGTTATTTTTCTTTCTTTTTATTTTTCATTTGGATTAAACGGCAGTTTCCACACATATGATGGTCATGTCTTGGCGGTCGATTTACCTTACCGGCTTTCCTAGATAACTAATTGCAGTAACTATATTATCTGTATGTGACCGACTACAAATCTCCCCACGTGTCTTCTGAATCAAAGGAGGCAAACAACAATTTAATGTCCAATATCAATTGTCACGAAAAAATGAAACATCGCCCGATGATTAAGCCAGCGATCCGTGTATTGAGATTCCGATGCTCTTCTCGTTGACCTAAGCGAGTGGATTTCTTTTTGTATTAAACGAATATAAATAGAATCAAATAACTTAATTTGTGTTTTAAGGACTCATGCCCAAAGTATACATACAGCAATATTGTATTATGTTTGTATTTGCATCTTAACAATACTTTTAATTAGAAACAAAGACTAGTTCTTTATAGTATCCATTGAGACATAAGGTCTTTAATATGGTTATATCACTTGTTCTTACTAATACATAAAAGTCAACTAGTTCTTTTCCGCCAGAATATCAACTGAATACATGATTGTCGCGAATATGATTGAAATTTTCATATAAAAAGAAAGAATGGAAAATCTATAGGATCATGACAAGTTGTACACAGATGTTCTCCTCTTGGAATATTTTGTGTCTGACTATTGTTATACCTAATCTATGGCTGGAATAACGACAATTACAAAAACGCATTTTAATGTGTACATGTAAATGGTATTTCTATTAATTGGTAGCGTTCAACATTTAAAAGTGATTTAAATTCATTATAGTGAAAACCTCGACTTGTATTTATTATATTTTCACGCCATTGTTGAGTACAACAATCAATAAGCCTTTGATTAAAGAAATTGTGTACCATATCAATGACACCATTTTTCTGAGATATCCAAAACCATGCCTGAACAGTAAATGAGTTTCTTGGATGACCAAAAATATTCGACCTACTTCGTAACGTGACTTCAACATTAAAAACTGTTATGGATATTTAGATAAAGGCCTGGTCAAATGTTTACAAAAATATCGTATGTAGTTTTTTATATACGAAATACTTAAGGGCAATCTATCACATACTCCTAAAAACCATAGCTGTAGTTGTAGTTTTTTATAGATCTATAAGTATTTTCGGTAGAAATTGTTACGCACATATTAAATATTTTGACTGTATTCAAAACCTCATATGTGTGACCCAAAAGAAAAAAAGGCAATTACTTGGAAAATATCCGAAAGGGTTTTGTAAATATTCTAACGACAATATTGCCCTTTGGGTTTTAGAAGCCATTTTGTCCTTAGCGTGAGTCCATGATAATTTAGGAATGAAAATGAAACCCATATACTTGTTAAAAGATGTTATATGTTAGAGTTTCCCTCGAAAGTATCATTCCTCATAATTACGTTATGGAACACCATTACGAAAAACAATTAGAGTACCTATATTTTATCAGGATTGAATTTCATTTAAGTTTTACAAGTACATTTACTTGTTGTTGCGATTTGGACAGTGAGCTATATCATCGGTAAACATAAGACATGATATATCAGGTGTATCATTAGTAATAAATACTCCTGTGCCACGACTGTGACTTATCAAGATAGATAATTCATTGATATAAAAAATAAAATGAGTCGATTTAAATTTTTCACCACGTCTTGTTCCTATACTACACGGGGAAAATCAGTTAAAATAGGGAAATAAGAATCCCTAAAGAAAGCCCATCATGGCAAAATTGAAAATGTTGCAGGCTCGGTTTGATTGAGCCTGTTCAGGGACGGTACTGTCAAGTGCAAACAACCGTCCACGCCCCCTAGCACCGGCTTAAGCAGAGTTCAACATTAAACATGAATTGGTACAATTTTGAATTTAGAAACATCTTCAGATGTGTTCATATGGCGTTTATCATAGAACCTTCAATGTGATACGTAAATGCCATTCCATGAAAAGCGGCATATGGTCCCCAAGTTAAAACAATGCGTGTGCGCTAAACGAGAAAACAATGGGCGGAACTAAATGAAATGAAATTTTGAAAGGAGGTCGGAGGTTATGAAGCCTACAAGACTTTATTTCAGAATACATACATTTTAAAACCCGTCAAAAATTACCATGAATACCTATTTCCTGGAGTATTCAAATAATTTGAATTGTCAATTTCATTTCTGAAATTTGTGTTTTAAATCAATATTTAAAACAAGACAAATAACAACCCTTGTTTGACAAATATTTTTGTGTCATGGCTTGTTAACAGAAAATATTATCAATGGCTAAGTAATTACATCTGAAACCTGTATAATATATAATACTTTGACCTAAGTATAAGCCAGGACTTTTTTTATTTACAAGTTTAAAAATAAATCATTCAATTCATAAGGTTAAAGGAAAAGTTAGCGACCTTGCTATGTTTAGTATTCACATGTAACGGCACTTTCATTGCGTTCACGTAATACACTAGTTAATTGAATCAATCATAGTATTCCATAGAAAAAATGCTATTACTCATTTTAGTGTTTAGTGCATTTCAAAGGTGGATTTTATTTGCTCGATTAAGTGTTCTGATAACTGAGCTTCAAAAAGCAAACGACCTTCTGAAAAGTGAGGTGAGTACAGTGTCAGAAATTGAGTTTTGAAAAGATGTTCAAAAGTGTAAAAGTCTATCGAAATCCTATTGTGAGAAATTGATGAGTCAAGTGGATAAACTATCAGAAGGTTTGACTGAAAGTGTTAAGGAATATTTACAACAGATTGTGGGTGAGGATTGCAGTTTGAATTTCGAGGTGGCAAATTGTATGATTGATTAAGACCAATTTTGTGAGTCAATAGTACCATAATTGAAACATGATGAGAAAGAAAAAGAGACATATCAAGAAGATATACAAAATATGATGATGACACAAATTGAAAAGCAAAATAAAATGATGGTGCAGAAGAACGGATAGAAAAGAGTGCAGTTAAATTACCAAACCTTGATTTGAACATGTTTTACGGAAAAAAATAAACTGTCGGGAATTTTGGGACTCTTTCGAATCCATTGTGCATAGAAATGCCAAACAATCCAACATAGAAAAGTTAAATTATTTGCTAAGCAAACTAGGCGGAGAAGCGAAGAGAGCATTAGCTGGACAAAGCGTACCAACGAAAATTATTCCATTGCAGTCGGAATTCTCATAGAAAGGGACGCCAACAAACAAGAGATCATTGATCTTCATTACAAAGAAATGCTCAATGTTCATTCACCAACTACGAAGGTTGAAAGCCTGCAATTCATTTTTTTTTTTTTGGATAAAGTTTAAAAAACTTAAACTATGGCTAAAACAAAATGTGAATGAACATGCATTTGTTTCAATGATTCGCACAAAGCTGCCAGAGGATGTGCTTCGGCACCTGGAAATAATAACAGGAGCAACGAATGAGTGGACTGTTGACAACTTGCGTGATCATCTACGGGATTACATTACAGCTTGTGAAAAGTCTGACAAAGGAAAGAGTGATAAAATGCATGCAGGTCAATTAAATTCAATGAAATGAGGAATAAAGAAAGACGGACCATTGCCAACGAGTATTTGGGAAACAGATTTCCATAATCAACATCATTATCAGAGATTCCGTAGCAGTGCCGACACATTTATGGCCAATGAAACCGTTTATAACAAGCAAGTGTGCAGATATTGTGCAGAGAACCATTGGAGGGACATGTGCACTCGATTCGAAACGTTGGAAGAACGGAAAAATAGAATCAAAGGTAGTTGTTATCGTTGCTTGGAAGATGGCCATGGAATTCGTGAGTGCAAATCAAATAAAAAGTGTGTGTACTGTAATCAATTCAACAGAAATCATAGAAGTTTGTGTCCTAAGAAATATAAACAAACTACACAAAAAATCTCAGATGAGTGCAACGGTGCAAATCAATAATACCTCACCGATGGAGCAAAATGAAGAAAATGCTATGTTGTCTCACGAATAATCTGTATTTTTGCAGACGGCGCTAACTGATATTCAAAGCCCAACATCTAACCAAAATGTCAAGGCAAGAATTCTTCTTGACTGTGGCTCTCAGAGAACATACATCACACAGTCACTAGCTGACAAATTAAGTCTCAAGCAGCAGTATGTGGAAGAGTTTCATGTGTTTACATTTGGCGGTAAAGATGCCAGAGTGATAAAGACAGAAGCTATGTCTTAAAGCAAACATTGTACCATTGATAAGTGGAAGCATACATAGAAAGACACTGAATAAACAAGTCCTGAAAGAATTCAGAGATATTTTGGAACATTTGGATCTTACGCTTCTCAACAAAAATGAAACATCTCAAATAGAACTTTTGATCGGCAATGATCATTACCTAAACATTGTACTTCAACAAAAGATTGAAGTTCAGCCCGGATTGTATCTGATGTGTTCTAAACTTGGTTTGATTCTTACAGGAAGGTCACACTCAGAAAAAAAGAGAAAGAGGAACCAAACATGCTCATTCTAACACACGGAAGTGATCTCGAGAATTTTTGGAATATAGAGGCTACAGGAATTTATTACAAAGACAAACTGAATGATGATGAGTTATAAATGAAAAAGTTTAAAAGCACTATCACCTTTCAGGATGGTAGATACAGTGTTGCATGGCCATGGAAAGAAGAAAATCCAGATTAACCCGAAAACAAAGGATTTGCAAGTGGACGTCTTAAGTCATGTTTGAAAAGACTAGAAAACAAACCTGAGCTGCTTGAGAAATACAACAATTTTATAAAAGACCAACAGTCAAAAAGAATTATTGAAAAGGTTCAAGACTCGGGGAAAGGCAACGGATACATTCCTCATCATGCGGTAATCACACCACAAAAGTCAACAACAAAGCTGAAGATTGTTTATGATGCGTTTAAAATATCACCAGAATCGAACAGTGTCTTTTTCGAGGTCCTGTTTTACTCCAAGACTCGTGCGGGCTATGAGATTTCGTTTACATAGAGTGGCAATGGTTGCGGACATTGAAAAGGCGTTTCTTCAAGTTGGTCTTCAAGACTCAGAACGCGATGTAACCAGACTCTTTTGGATTAAGGACACAAAAAGACCATCGCCGTTTCCAAATAACAACAAAATTTATCGTTTCTGTAGAGTACCGTTTGGTATTATTTCAAGCCCTTTTCTTCTGAGTGCAACGATTGAGGCTCATTTGAATACTTATGGCACTAATCTATCAGAACAGATGAGACGTGACATTTATGTGGACAATATTATAACCGGAGCTTCTAGCGATGAACAAGCTATAAACGTGTATAAAGAAGCAAAAAAAGACACCTCAATGAATCTTCGGGAGTGGAGTTCAAGTAGTAAACAAGTAAACAGTCTTATTCCAGACGTTGACAGATCACTGAAACTGAAACAAAGGTTCTTGGATATGTTTGGGACATAAAATCAGATATTCTGTTTGTAAAATCTGTGAGTTCGAATATAAACCGTTCCTTGGTGACAAAACGAATCGTACTGAAAGGAATAGCATCATTACAGTCACCAGTCACTCTTCATGAAAGAATTTTGCTACAAGAAATGTGGGAAAGTGCTTTTGATTGGGATACAAAGATAACAGACGAGCATGTGCTCGATAAGTGGTCATTTATCAGCGATCAGCTAAGGTTGATATCTGACATCAAAGTACGCCGGAGTATCGTTTCTCAAGACAAATATGTAAAGTACAATTTGCTTTGTTTTTGTGACTCTTCGTCAAAGGCTTATGCCACAACAATCTATCTACAGCAAGAAAATGCAACTGATGTGAAATCAAACTTGATCTTTGCCAAAACACGTCTTGCTCCGGTCAAGAAAATGACTATACCAAGACTAGAGCTAATGGCAGTGCTAATAGGTGTTAGGTGTTTGAAATTTGTGTAAGCACAGTTAATGATAGAAATATCGCACGAATACCTTTGGACCGACTCTCAGGTATAACTAGACTGGATAAATAGTAAAAAGCAACTGCTCGTATTTGTGAAAAATATGAAAAATAGAGTTATAGAAATCAAAAACAATAATTGTGTGATTTTTGCTCATGCAGATACAAAAGATAATCCAGCTTACGTTGCAACTCGAGGTGCGTCGGTGAGTGATTTTAAGGATAATACTTTTTGGTGGAACGGTCCCACGTGGTGTTGTGAAAGTCAACGAAAGTGGAATACAAATCACGACAATATTATTGACATGGAATTAAAGCAACAAGAAGATGAAAAAGAACCAACTGTTTCATTGCATGTCGAAGAAAATGAATGCAAAATAAAACAGGATAATATACCACCTTGTGGAATTGACATTCAAAGATATTCAACGTTGACAAAATTGTTGCGTGTTACAGCTCTTATGTTGTTAAAGTTCATTAGGAAACTCAAAATTGTAAAAGATAATGAAAAATTTCTAATTTGTGACGACTTACGAGAAGCTGAAAATTTGTGGATAGTTTATGTTAACCCATTACTTCATATACACGCCTTTTAACGCCTTTTTCACCCCCCCCCCCTTTTTGTTGTCTCAAATGATGAAAAAATGCCGTATTTAGGCCCCAAACACTTGTTTTTTGTTTGAGAAATGTTGTTAAAAAAAGTAACCTCTTTTTCGGCGCGGCCCCCCAACCAAAAGATACATCAGGGGGTTGCCAGAAGGGGGATGTGCCCCCTTCTTTTGGGGGGTTTGAAGGGGGGCGGAGTCCCCCTCATCGCCAAGAAAATTTTGGACTTGTGAGAGGCTGTAAATGACCCCAGATTGATCATAAAGTAATGTGTAACCAACGCTGAAAAGCATTTGACTCTATCTCAATCCATTGAGAAGTTGCAGCACTTTGAAAGCAATTTTGATGGAAAAAATCAACGCAAAATAGTGATTTTTGGCAATTTTGAGATGTCCCCTCGTTGCCATGGTAACAGAAAATTTAAGCCTGAGCATGTCGTTGCAAGGGCAATGGTCCAGTCAACATTTGTGCCAATTTTGATTAGTGTTGAAGCAGTTTTTATAGTATTATAGCAATTTGAACTTGTATCGGGAGACTTTTCAATGAAAACAGCCATTTTTCACAAAATGCTCATGAAGTAATGGGTTAAAGGAACAATTATAATAAGGACTATAGGAATATCACTTCACACAGAAAAGTTTACTAAACTAGATATTCAAAGAGCACATAAAGAGTGTATCGATTAAGGAATATCACATACGCTATCCAGAACAAGACAAACATATTGGATAACTCGCGTTCGTTCAGCGGTCAAAGCAGTATTAAATAAGTGTAATGTGTGTCGCCGATACGATTAAGGCCCGTACAAAATGCCTGTTATGGCCCCACTTCCCAGTTCAAGAGTAAAAAAGTCAAGTGTATTTTCACGAACTGGATTAGATTATGTTTGACCTTTGAACTTCAAAACATCAAATGGTAATAGAAAAGTCTGGATATGTTTATTGTCGTGTATTACAATGCGTGCTATTCATTTGTAAGTGATTCAGGATTAAAGTACAGAAGAATTCCTGATGTACTCGCAACGTTTCATTTTACAAAGAAACACTCCTATTGAGATTGTTTCTGATAACGCTGCTCTGTTTAAACTTGCACGTAAAGTCATCAATCATATATGGAAAAATGTAGTGCAAGGTGATGAAGTAATGTCATATGTAGATTTGAAGAGCATTCGTTTGAATTTCATTGTCGAGTAAGCTCCCTGGATTGGGTGATTCTATGAACGGTTAGTTGGGGTAGTTGAAAGTGCACTTTCGTTAGGACGAAAACTTCGTATAATGATTCAACTTCAAACACTTATTAAAGAAGTGGAAACCGTTGTCAATTCGAGACCTTTGTTTACGAAGAAAATGGTTTATCTTCTAACATCACATTGACACCTGGGCACTTCTTAACATTAAATCCAAACACCGGCGTACCAGACTTAGAAGAGACAATGGTGATAAAAACTATTTGCCTGTCGAAAGTTCAATTGAAAAACTGTTAAAGATTTGGAAAAAAGGACAAAGATTTCTGAACGAGCTTTGGAAAATTTGGCGTGATCAGTACCTTGTGAGTCTAAGAGAGCGCCTTCAGACTCAATTAAAATCATGACGGATAACTGCCAAAACAATACCGAGTATGGGTGATGAGGTGCAAATAAAGGAAAACTTACCTAGAGGAAGTTGGAAGATTGGTCGCATTGTTGAGTTAATGACTAGAAATGATAGAGAATTTCGATCTGCTAAAGTACAGCTTCATTCTAAGAGACTGATAAACAGACCTTTGAATTTTCTTTATCTTTTTGAATGTGATAAAAATCTCACCTTTATTAATGACAAAGGGGCTACGAACATTGAGAAAAGTGCAAAAAAATCAAATAATGGATCAAACGGAAAGTCAGCGGAAATTGCAAAACAAAACATTAAAAACTATTTCAAGTAAACACTTTGAAAAATACAATGATGTAAATAAAGATGATACAATCAAAGACATTTTTCATAAAAAAATCTGTGTTTAGTTTCTCAAACATTAAACAATACATCCTGTATCAAATAGAGTTTGTTTGTTTGTTTGTTACATTTACGCCTTTTCCCAACAGTATGTCAGTCATATAGGCGGGTAGTTTCCTAACTATCGTTCCTGGAGAGTTACACAAGTGCTAGACTACCTTCCTACCAAAGCATCCCCCGGGTATCCAGCCCACTCCAGAGTGGTACCTAGATTAGAAGTTATCAAGTAGAGACACGAAGACAATTTAGTACAATATTTAACTGATTGACAAAAAAGGTGTTTTAGATTGGATAATAAAAGTAAAAATGAACAAGGGTGCCATAGTCACAAAATACGCCCGTTTACGAAAAAGCTTTAGATGGAGATGGGGTCATTATGGATAAGTGTTATCTAGCAAGCAAGTTTTTATTCTTGGCACTGTGTTGTTAAATGAACCTTAAAACAAATAAATAGGGAAGATATGCACAGAATGTGTGACCTTGACCTTGGTCGCAGGGACCTGAATTTTATGCACGGCACTCAGCCTCACAATGATGAACATTTGTGCCAAATTATATTGAAATCCCTCTATGCATGTAGAAGTTTTGCTCCAGACAAGTGTTTTTCTGTGAGCTCTAACTGTGACCTTCACCTTTGACCTAGAGACTTGGTTTATGTGCAGGGCACTACGTCTCATGGTGGTGAACAATTCTATGAAAATAACATTACAATTCCTCCATGCATGTAGAAAATATGCTCCGGACAACATCTGGATATTTAATCATCTCCAGTGACCTTGACCTTGCAAATATTAACCTAAATTAAATGTGTAACACCTGTAGTCATGATAGTTACCATTTGTGCTACAATCCATCAATAAATGATGACTAAATGGTCCCTATAACCATCTTCAAATTTTTATCTGAACTTTGACCTCTATGTGTAACCTTGACTTTGGTCGCAGGGATCTGAATTTTGCATGCGACACTCAGCCTCACAATGGTGAACATTTGTGCCAAGTTATATTGAAAACCCCTATGAATGTAGAAGTTTTGCTCCGGACAAGCGTTTTTTCAATGAGCTCTAAGTGTGACCTTGACCTTTGACCTGGAGACCTGGATCATGCATGGAGCAATACATATCATGGTGGTGAACATTTCCATAAAGTATTATAAAAATTCTTCCATACATGTAGGAGATATGCTCCAGACAAAATCTGGATATTTCACCATCTTTAGTGACCTTGACCTTGCATATATTGACCTAAAGTACATGTGTCACATCCGTAGTCATTATAATGACCATTTGTGTTACAATCCCTCAATAAATGATGATTAAATCGTCCCTATACACATCTTCATATTTTTATCTTTTTTTAAACGTGCGTATAATGTACATGTAATTTAATAACTAGAAAATTCTGATTTAAGATTTTATTCTAGGGAAATACATTTCATTACAAATCTTAATCTTTGAATGAGCTGACTGATATTTACTTGAAAATTAAAATATAATTAAATTTCTATGAGAAAGTATTTACATTTGATAAGGTAATTACTGTATGATCTTTATGAACAAATACCAAGTCTACAGAACACCATAGTTATCACAGTTAAGAATCTTGACCAATGAATGAAACATGTGTAAATAAATGTTACATTCTTTAGAACATACTCAAGTCCAAGAAAGAGGATTATTTCATGCCCTTTGATTAAATTCTATTTTTAGAATTGAAAGTGAAAAAAGATCAAGGGAAGTAATTGTGTAAGTCATTTATGAACAAAGTAATAACTTTGTTGTCTCCCTTTGATTAAATTCTATTTACAAAATCTGGATATTTCATCATCTTTAGTGACCATGACCTTGTATATATATTGACCTAAATTATATGTATCACAGCCATAGTCTTGATAATGACCATTTGTGTTACAATCCCTCAATAAATGATG